ATATGGGAATATGAGCAAAGAACACCCCAAACACACTAAATCAAGGACTGACATGACAAAGATTATAGTAGCCCATACTCCTTCAGAGTATGGGCTAGTACAGAGTAGTCAAGGAGTATACTAGCCCATGCACCTTGAGAAATCCTTCAATTTCTCACCTAATCCCAACTGCTCTCTCACCCCAAGGATTTTAAAAAGCTGAACATAGTACATTGTAAATGATTGCTTCTCATTTACAATCCCAATCCCCTGTAGCAACCAACCAGTGCAACAAGAGAAGAAATAGAAATGGAAGATAAGAATATGGGGAAAGGAGAGAGAGAGAGAGAGAGACCCCGAAGGAGAACATTTTCATTGCTCGAATGGTGCCCTCTTCTGGTGCAGAGTTACTTTGCTCTGGAACTGTGAATTGCAAATATTGTAGGTGTGGAGATTCACTAGAGGATATTGATATACTAAATAATTCTGCAGCTCATCAATATTGACTATCTGATCAAGGTAGGCAAACATCAGTTTCTGTTCTGTTCTCTGATTCTACTAACCATCCAATTATTCTTCCGCTTTTCCATAAGAAACCCAACTGGAATGGAATAAAAAACAGTAAGAAGAAGCAGTGGGGCAGAGAGTTGCCAACAGCAGCAGAAAATAGTGCAAAACTGCAGCAATCATAACTGTTTAAGACTCCCAAGGACTTACCTCCAACATCTAAATCAACTTTGTAGTTGATGACATGAGTATGGATTGTACCAAGTGTGTGATCTGCAACTCTATTACCATAATCCAGCCCATCACTATAGAGGAAAGATGAGATTATGTATCCAGTGGCTCGGACTTTGCTTTCAATGGCACCATTTGGATGAAAAATAAAATCCCAGATATAGTCATAGTTACCAATGGTAACTATTGAACGCATAACTAGCGCAGAGCCAGCCAGTCCCCCGTAATAGAGGGACTGAAGATTGGAAAAATGACGTCGGAAAGGGGTCTGTACACTCTGCTCAAAGACACAAATTGAGTTCTTCCGCACCTCTGGTTTGATAGTTTCAATTAAATAAACAGCATCAAGATAGGTGGCAGAGTAAGGGCAATCAACTCCACGGACTAATGAAAATGAGAACCTTCCCATTCCAAAACTTGTATCCATATATCGGGTTAACATTCCACCAGGATTATTGGAGCCATAGATAGATATGGCATCCTGCACAGCCAGCTCATAAACAATTCTTTCATCCTTAAATCGGATATCATAGACATGGAGTCCCCTGTGCACGTCCATCCGAAAGACAAAACTCCAGGTTGGGGAGGTTATTTGATTGTTTCTCACATTGTAGCGTGGCTCAAAAGGCTCATGATGGAAGGGTCCAGGTCTTACAGGGGGTGTCCTTGGATGAAGTGAAGAAAAGCCCCCATCAGAAGAAACCAGCTTAACTTTTGCTATAATCACCCGCTTTGCTTTGAATTCTTTTTCCAGCTCTGCCAAACTGTTATAATATTGGCCATTATAGAATACTTTTGGCACTTCCCAGTGAGAGATATTCAGACTGCTGTGGTTAACAAGCACCTCTAGTCCCAATGGATGCAAGAAAAAGCCTCTTACATTTGAAAACAAGGTAACCCAGGAACAGCGATCTCCAGACTGAACGCCCCCAGGCTCCGCAATGATACCTTCAAAATTGTTTCCATTATGTCCAAATACTTGAGTCAGAAAAGTGGGTGCCTCAAGAAATTTCTTCTCCACGAGGAATCTCCGAATCTCCACAAATTCACTAAGTAACAGCGGTCTGCCATGATAGGATAATTTCCTTCCATACTTTTGCACTGTCACATCCCGATGATACGTTGGCACTGGCAGTGGCCCTACAATGTACTCAGTGATATTTGGTTCTGGTTGATTTCCAAAGTACACCACAGCCAAAGCTTGTCGAGGAGGCCATGGTCCACCATGATCAAGGAATTTCAGCACCACTTCTTTGCGGGGGAGATTGACATCAACATAATAAATAAAATTATTGGAAAAAAGAGCATGATGAGCATCTACCAAGGGCAACCTTAGGCTGGACTGCAGATATTTCTTCACCTGCACCATCTCTTCTGCTGACAGGGCAGCAAATATCATACTCTTGTTCTTGTGTCTACCATCCGAGGAAGCTTGTGACTTGGCACCACAATGAGTAGACTTCTCCCTCCTGGTCACCAACACACACACCAAGGCAAAAATTGTAATCAAAGCAAGTACAAGAAGAACGAGGAGGGCTTTTGGGTTCATTGCTGAAGATATGGCTTGGAGCCCCACCAGCTGTTTAAATGAAGGCAGTCCCAATTGCAGTTAAGCAGCTGCTAGAGAGCAAGAGACTTTATTTATTTTCTGCAGGAAATAGGACATTGCTGGGTTGGGCCCAAAAAGTGGAGGCTTGGAATTTATGGCTTGGATTAAAAACACTCTTTAATGACAGTTTGAATCTTTCACTGTGCCAAAAGGGGACAGTACATGTACTAAAAGACTATGGATCACAAGAAAGGAACCAAATACCAAATTGAAAATTACAGACCCCCTCATTTCAGAAAGATTCTTGAACTTATTGCTGCATTGCTCATTTATGCATTCTTATTATTCCCCAAATAAATGAATGAGCTTAATATTTTATAATTTTACAAGCAGAGCAAGAAAGAGTAATTGAACTACAACTGCTGTTTGTATAAAAACTTCAAGTAAATCTGAAATTACATAGAAACTGGAGGATCAGTTGATCTATAGTTGCAAAGGACTGAAGCTGATCAAGATGCCCAATACGTAGCATAAATTAGTATAGCCAAGAAGAACAGTTGATGGACTGGGATAGTAGAGTTTGGGGTTACCTTCTGAACTTATGTTTATCCAACCCCAGAAAGTTAGAGGAAATCCCCACAAATGGGAATGATGGAATATATGGGAGAACTGCAAGTGCTGCAGCTTGAGAAATTGCAGCCTGTGCTGGAAATAAATGATTTAGGTCACTTTCCCACTAGCAATTTATTGTCTTCTAGAATCATTCAACTATTGCTGTGTCAAAATAATATTAATGAGGGAAGGCTTTACATCACTTTAAAGTTGTACTTTACTTTAAAGTTGACAGAGTGGTGCTCTGAAGATGTTGTAAGACATTATTGAAGAAACAGCCTTAGAATCATTGTAAGCAAGCAATAGATGGACCAGAAGATAATGAAATTCAGAATACCTGAAGAAAAATCACCCATTGCCCTATGCATAATTTATGAAGGCCTTGGGCGGGATCAGGCCACTAAGGCTGTTGTGCCCCTAAATCAGGTTTCTCCTATGGGAGTAACTGGGAGTTTGTGACATAGGAACTTGAGATTGTCTCAGTACAGTGGCATAATGGAGCCGAGGGGAAGATCCCAAGAGTAAAAAGTATACTACAATAATTGCAGAATTTAAGTTTTTCAAGTTGAATAAAAACATATATTACCCAGATACAGGAACTGGGTTTTGGAGAGGTGGAGAAAAAACAAACAAAGAAGGGATCTCTTCCATCCTTTGCCAGAGACAGTGTAACTTTCATCAGCTCTTTGGCCAGGCAGCAAGAATCAATATGGTCAAGACATTTTAGTCAGCTCTAGGACAAAGAAGAACTGTGTGCTTAGATAATTTTTCTTGGAATTTTCATGACTTCCCTATAGTACGGTAGGTGAAGTTCAGGAAATTCTGATGTTTCACTGCAATGGGAAAGAAACATATATTTCCCATGGAAGATAAAAGGGGCTCTTATCTTTATGTAAACAAGGCTGTCAGGAAGCATCTGTGTGTGGAAAGGCCTTTTTTAAAAAAAGCATAGAGGAGGGGGCTTCCATATAGAAGGCTCTTAACTATTGTAAACACCACATTTCTGCTGAATGCTAGAAATGGAATTGTAAATGATCATCCATGCTGCAGGAAGTCTGCCATTACTGGGGGTGGGGGGTGTTTCACTATGTTTCATGATAGGAGGACCCAAAATGGTGATGAAACAGCAGCTCTTTAATAAGCTCCGCTTAACTTTTTTGTTTTGCTTCTCTATCAGTCTCACTTGTACCCCCCTGAACTTGAGAAAGAACAGAACACTATTTTAGCACATAGTTCTGATACTGAAATAGGGGACAACAAAGATCCTTGGGAAAATAAGGACAAATAAGGACCAATGGGAAAAATAGAAAAGACAAAGGATAAGTCCCCGCATGTCAACTTTATAGAAACCATCAAAGCAATCCAAAGCGGAGGACTACCTGCCTAAATCTGTAATTAGAATTAAGGATTGCAAGTCCTATGCATACCACTACTATTGATTGTAAATGGTCCCCCAAGCTGGGATTTAGAAGCAGATTGTTAGATGCTTCTTCCCTCCCACAAGTTGAAATTGAGCCACAGAAAGATTTCTCACTCTCGCTGAGCTCCCTTTTTGATGCAACTACAGCAGATCCAGATAACCATTTCACCAAAGAATTTGTGGCTGAGCCAGCACAGGTGGTATTTTCTATTTCTGTTGTCAGTTGAACAAAAGTGGATTCACTGAGAACCGCCTTTGAGATAATTGCACAAAGCCAAGTAGAAAGGTTGATCGTATCTGTAAAAACCTGAGATGTGGGGCTAAGACAGAAACATCCCATGATTAGTTTTGGAAAGGGAAAAAGAAAAGAAAGTAATCCAAGAACACCTCGATCTTCCAACGCTGGGCTTCAGAGAAAGGGAGGGCTTAGCTGAGAGCAACTGTGCACTTCAAAACAGCTAGACTGCATTGAGAAGAATTCTCAACAGAAGTAATATCAATTATTGGACCCTCCAAAAGCTATCATCTTGTCCCTGAGTCGACTTCTTAGTTGCCAGTCTTTCCAGATAGAGCTATATACAGTTGAATGGCTACCAAGTACAGCAGGCACTAATAACATTTTATATTCTTTTTCTACCAACCGACAACACCCTTAATGCTGCAAAAAATTGAAACCTTTTCTACACACTTTCTAGATTTTCCCAACACGGGGTTTCCTGTGATGAAGATGTACATTCTCTCTTTAAAGCTACAGTACATCCCAAGCAGAGCCTGACTCTATGAAAATTAAGGGTGATTTGCTAATTGACAACAACTCAATGCTTTCACAGTCCTTGGCAAGTCAAAGCCCATACAGAGATTACTGCAGAGGAAAAAATTCCATAGGAGGTAGCAGACACTGTCTGGTTAACTTTTTCAGAATATTACCAGATGGCAAACAGAAGGAAATTCTGAGAAAATTGGACAGCCTTTAACAAGTACTGTTGGCTACATGTATTGCTGCAAAACTTTTGATAGACCTGGTTTCCCCTGACTCTGCTGCTGCTGATAGCAACACTAAACTGGTTCCAGATATAAAACCACCAAAGTAGTATGTCACCCTGATTTGATTAAGGATCTACAATGGACACTAAGGCAGAAGTATAATGCCCCACTAATCTCAAAAGCCCCTCAAGATCTTCAGTTACCTCAATTAACTGATGCTAGAGATCCTGTCCTAGATTCACACTTGGGGTTGTTGCCTGTTAGTTCCTCTCACTCTGATGTTCTTATCAAATTTTCAACATTATGTAGCTCTGCAATTTGGCAGCATCACCCCAAATCTACTAGAGAGCCTATAGCTGCAGAGACAGAGTTGATGACCTCTCCCGATAACTTTTTATACCAGGATGACAAACACCATAGGGCTGGAAGTCCCCCGTTTAGCAAATCCCTAATGCTGCTGCAACTCCATAATCATTTTTCAAAATTTATTTTTAATTGGAATTTTTAAATACAACGAACGTTTAAAAAAAATAAAGGAAAGATAAGAAAAAGAGGAAAAAAAGGGGGGAGAGAGAGAAAGAAAGAAAGAAAGAAAGAAAGAAAGAAAGAAAGAAAGAAAGAAAGAA